GGCAAGGCTGACATTTGATAAAATAATTAAGAGCTGAACTAGTGTTTCTTATCCCTGGAGGTCTGCTATACTTAATACCTTCAGGCAGGGCCAACACTTCTCAAAGAGCCTTTTAAGAAAAGCTTATGTGCTCTAACAAAATGTAAAGTAAATCCTCGTGTTTCCTATTGTTAAGAACAGACAGGATGGATGTGGCTGAGGTGACCGAGGGACCACAGGTTACCAGAAGCCTGTCTTTCCCAGTTCCAGGACCTCAGTAGACTGTTTCATCATTCACTGTGATTCCATCACTCACAAGTCTATGAATTAGACTTTTTTGGGGGTAAATTTGATATGTAGTAAACTTGTACATGCTTACCTTTCACATAAAAGTTCATATATTTTGTTTGCAAGCAATTTTTTCTTGAAATACGTATGTCATTCCTGTAACTACAAGGTTTTAATGTGAACATTTGGCCCATTAAAATGATGCAACACTCACAGGTTTATTGTGTCAGAGCAGAGGCAGAATGTTTTTGTTCTACCTCCGAACCAAGGAAGAACTCCAATAAGTTAAAGCCTGACAAAATTCCTAACACAGACGTGTAGACAAACAAAAAGATATAGAAATATTTCCAATATGATTCTTAAACATATAGAAATATTTCCAATATTATTATTAAACATTTCCCAATTTTTTAAACGGGAAATACTGTCGTTAAAAATAAGATTTCTTGGGAAAGAGGGTTAAAACCAACATAGAGGGTTAAAACCTCTTCTGAAGGCATAAGAGATGTTTTACTAAAATAATTCCAGTGGTATTTAGAGATTGATGGTAGTCCTCATAACCACCTCTTATTTAACATCTGCCCTAATTTTAGATTCTTTTCCCTTTCAAATAGATTTTATTTTTGAGTCAGTTTTATGGAAAAATGAAGCAGAAAGTACAGAGAGTGCCTGTCTACCTCCTGCTCTACCCCCATCCAACAGGCGTAGCCTCCCCCATTATAATATCATGTGCCAGAGTGGTACATTGGCTGTCAATGATTAACCTACACAGATACATGTTTACAACCCCCAATCCATGGAGTTCTAAATTTCTTGGGTTTAAAAAAATACATAATTGCATGTACTTGCCACTATAGTATCATAATTTAAAAGTTTCACTGTCTTAGAAACCTAGGCACCCCTTCTTCCTCTTCCCCCCAACCCTTGGACACCATTGCTCTTCTTACCATCTCCATGTATTTTTCTTTTCTAGACTGGCGTCTAGTTGGAATCTTACAGCATGTAGCCATTCGGATTAGCTTCTCTCACTTAGTTGTTTGCACTTCTGTTTCCTCTGTGCCTATGCACAGGCTTTTAGCTCACTTCCTTTTAGCATGGAATCATATTCCATCGTCTGGATGTCCCAGAGTTTATCGATCCACTCACCCACTGAAGGACATCTTAGTTGCGTCTAAGTTCTAACAATCATGACTAAAGTCATTAGAAAGCATCACGGTGCTAGTTTTTGTGTTGACATAATTTTTTTCAACAGATCTAGGTAAATACTAAGGAATAGGATTTCTGGGTCACACGGTATAAATAACTTTCGTTTTGTGAAAGTTGCCAATCTACCTTCAAGAGTGGCTGTAGCATTGTGCATTTTCACCAGCACCAGATGAGAATTTGTATTGCTCCCCTCTCCTGCCAGCATTTGGTGCTGTCTGTGTCTTGGGTTCCTGCCAGGCTAATGGGGCATAGTGCTATCCCACTGTTGCTTTACTCTGTGTTTCCCTAATGACATCTGATGGGGAGCGTGTTTTCAAATGCTTATTTGCCATCTGTGTATTTTCTCCGGTGAGGTGTGTGCTCAGGCCTTTTGCTCATTTTTAAAATCAGGCTGTTCTTTTTATTTTTATTGTTGAGTTTTAGATGTTCTTTGTATATTTTGGATAATAGCCCTTTATCTTACATGTGCTAATATTTTCTCTTAGATTCTGGCTTGCCTTTGAATCTCTTGACAATGCCTTTCATGGAGCAGAAGTTTTTAGTTTTAAGGAAATCCAGCTTCTCATTCTTTTTTTTCGGTCATAGGTTTTCCTTTAGTGCTGCATCTAAACAGTCATAGCCCTACCTGCGGTCATCGAGCCATTCTCCTCTTCCAGTTTTGCATTTTACATGTACATCTATGTTCCATTTGAGTTAATTTTAGTGAAGGGTGTATGGTCTGTGGTAGGTGTCTTGATTAATTTTTGTGTGTGTCTGTGTGTGTGTATGGATGTCTAGTTATTCCTACACCATTTGTTGAGAAGACTTATCATTTTTCTATTGCATTGTCCTTGCCCTTTTATCAAAGATCAGTTAGCTGTATTTATGAGGCTCTATTTCTGAGCTGTCTATTCCGTCCCATTGATCTATTTGTCTATATTTTTGCCAATACCATCACATCCTGATTAACATGGTGGGCTATTTTCAAAGAAAAGAAAAAATGTTATAAGAACACAATAAAATTAAGGCTACTTCTGAAGTAGAAATTGTTGTAAGGCTTCTCAAATGTTAATATGTATTTACAATTATAATTTTTTAACATAAAAACAAGAAATTACATGGTCTTCTTATCTTCCATTTAATACTCTAATTCTCTTGTCTTCCATATCGAAATGCTGTGACAGGTACTTGTCTGTATTTCTGGTCTCCAGTTCAGCTCTCACTTGCTTTCCTAGTGGTTTGTTTTGGAAAACTTCACAATAGAAAAGGTAGAGGGTAGAATAATTGATAAAAATATAGCCTCCACTCAGAGCCCCCTATTTTATTTAACATTGCCTCTCCCCTCCCATCTACTTTACTACCTAATCCAAGTCAGGGGTGGGAAGGGAAATCACATTTCCTGTGAGCATAGGATAGGGAATCTGGGCCGTAATGGAATTCAAAACCATTTTTTAGAGTTTCAGGTCACATCTATAACCACAAGCTAAAGAACTGTTTAGGGATTTCTGCTGAGGTGGATAAGCAAGATCCTTCCAGCGTTTTGAAAGCCCCATTTCATTTTAAAATTATTTTTAATTTTTTTTAACTTTCAGATTAATATGAGGGTACAAATGTTTAGGTTACACTTTTTTCATTTCTAAGGTAAAGTTCAAGTTACAATTGAGTCCTCCAGCCAGGGGGCGCTGCTGAACACCCTCACATTGTGCACATTAGGTGAGATCCCGCCAATCACCCTCTTCTCCCCTCACCTGCCCCACCCCTCCGCTGCGCTAGACTTGTCTTTTTTGTTTTGTGTGGGTGTGTAGTTGTTTACATATTGGTTTCTAATTAGTATTGAGTACATTGGATACTTCCCCCTCCTTCTTGGGATTCTTTCCTCAGAAGGATGTATTTCAACTCCATCCAGGTAAACACCAACGATGTGGAGTCTCCATATTTTCTCATGGCTGAATCGCGCTCCATGGAACACATATAGCACAGTTTGTTAATCCATTCCTGGGCTGATGGGCACTTGGATTGGTTCCAAATCTTGGCAATTATGAATTGAGCTGCAATAAACATTCTGGTGCAAATGTCCTTGTGATAGAATGATTTTTTTTTCTTCTTGGTAGATACTTAGTAATGTGATTTCAGGATCAAATAGGTGGTCAACTTTTAGTTCTTTGAGAATTCTCCATACCTCTTTCCAGAGAGGTTGTTTTAGTTTGCAATCCCACCAACAGTACAAAGGTGTTCCCCTCTCTCCACACTCACACCAGCATGTGCAGATTCATGATTCTGTGATGGGGAAAGCCCCATCTTATTCCAGAAGGTTCCTGTGTGCTTGAAGGGGAAAGAAACCAGAATGTAAAGAGTAGCCCAGAGAAGCATGGGTGTAATCGCTGGTTTCCCATGTTTCTAAGAGTACTACAAATATTTAAAAGAGAACAGATGATCAAAGAATCCAAGTGACCAAGAATGAGGAGGGAGAGGGATGACCTCAGATGAATGCACAGTGATAGACAACGATGGGGATCCTCAGACATCCCCGTAAACACACCCTCTGGGCCGCCTGAGACTCAGGAGGAAGGTTATGCATAGAGAAATTAACTTTTAGATACAGAAAATAAATTTATATTTATTGATCTTGTGAGCTTATAGACGGAGATTTCACCAGCAACTTTTATCTGGATCACGGTATTCGTTCATTAATGGAAGTAGAAAAGAGTTTTCAAAATCAATGCTTAAACATCCCAATAAGAAAGGAACTTTGTAAAGGGCTCATGCCTCAAAATCTCACAAAATGTTCTGATTTCTGTTCCCAAATTGTTTCCAGTTCTTGAAGATAAACACACATAATTTGACAAAGACGTAAACATTGTGCAGAAGCAGCACTGAAATCTGATTATTATCTTAGCTTTACATTGTAAACATTCTGCATGGGAACCGACTTCAGACTGCATTGTGTGCTCTCTGCCACGTACCGGAATCTGTTTAATCACGTTTTGCAATTTTTAGCTGTAACAAAGAATGCTGCAAAGGATATTTAACATTGACTTGTAACATTCATATGGCTTATCTTTTATTCCTATTCCTTAGAGATTATGTTTAGCATAAATTCTCAGGAAAGCACATTTTCCTAATTTTGATTGACTACTGTTACGGTTATTAGTTTGTACAATACTTTGCTTTATTCATTGTCATTTATATTGTTTGCGTTGTTATATTTCGCTGGAAATGTCAATAGTCGGTATTATTATTATCATCATTATTGTTTTGAGATGGCATCTCATTTTGTCACCCTGAGTGGAGAGCTGTGGCATCATAGCTTGCAACAACCTCAAATTCTTGGGCTCAAGAGATCCTTTTGCCTCAACCTCCTGAGTAGCTGGGACTGCAGGCGCCCATCACTACACCCAGTTAGTTTTCCTATTTTTAGTAGAGATGAGGTCTCACTCTTGGTCAGGAACCACCTGCCTCAGCCTCCCAGAGTGCTAGGATGTGAGCCACTGCTCCTGCTGTAGTATTATTATTTTAAATACATCTGTATTAAGTGAAAAAAAAATTTTTTTAATATGGAATGCTTCACAAATTTGTGTGTCATCCTTGCACAGGGGCCATGCCAATCTTCTCTATCATTCCAATTTTTTAGTGTATGTGATGCCAAAGCAAGCACATATTAAGTGAAATCCTTACATGTTAAAGAAGCTTAAACCATGGTACCCAAGGACACCAGTGTAGATCATGACAGAGTAAAAAGAAATGTGCAGACAAGAAAGCAGTTAGTGAACAACAGTTTAAGATAAGGAGAAAAAATACAGCAAGATGAAAGAAAATGAGTTCAAATGCCCTAATTTGTTTTTCTGGACGGAGGTATAGAATACTTGAAGTTCATACTGAAAGATTCTGTCCCCATTTAAAAACAAGTGTTTATCTTTACTTCAAATAGAATTTGGCTCTTGGGAATACAGAAACAGAAGAAAAGTCAGGTTTGTTGTTTTTATTATTTCTAGGGGGAAAAAAAGCTTATCTTGGGTAGAATTTCTCCAGAGAAATAACTTTATAAACAAACAAAATGAGGTAACTTTCTCTCCCTTCCCCTAAAATTCTTCACTCTGAAATTGATTAATGAGGCAAAAAATATTAGAAATAGATTTATAGACCACGTGTTATACTTATAATTAATATTATATTAAACACAATGCACACACATTTTTAAAAATTTCCTACTCTTGCATATTAGTTGGTTTGTATTGGCTTGTTCTTATATCTTGCCTGAAATAACATCGGTTCATTACCACATTGGGACAGTTTTGGGAACTGACCTGTCATTCATGTTCTTTCCTGGAAGACACAGGACCCTGAAGTTTGTGGACCTGGCAATCTACCTGGCTTTTTAATGAATTAGTGATTCAAAGGAGAATGTAGAGGAAGAAATCGATCGTGCTGTTGATCCTTTCTTGCTTTTCAGTCATCAACTAGAAAGGGGCATTGTTAGTGATGCAAGTGTTTCCTAAAATTGTCTGCAATTTCCTTAGCATTTCAGCAATGAGTATTTTCAGATTGGAATTATTAAATAAATCACTGTTCTTGGGAGGAAAAACCCTTAAATGTCTTAATTTTCTAAGTTTGGTTTGTAACTGTTGGATAATAGTGCACTGCCTTTGGGTGTGTTTATGTAATATCTTAGGGAACCATGCAGTTAGGTCCACCAAGCTCACACACATGAACTGATGTTATTTCAGCAACTGTGTAACTACCAGAAGCACCGTCCACACTGCTCCCCTCACTCTTCCTCCTCACCACGTTTCTTTCATGAACCACTGGGCCGTGTCACTAAGGTAAAACATAAGTAAAGTTTTTCCAGTATAGAATCACTATTGGCTACATCAGAATCAGATTCAGTTAGATTCTCTTATCTATTTAAAGGCAAATGCTTTTTCTTAGGGAGTATTTCCCAAGGTAAGTAATTTGAAAACAAACAAAACCCTCAATTTTTTACTCTGAAACTAATGATACTTATAAGTATAAGAAGGAGTGATTACTGACTATATATATGTATTTATCGATAGATCTAAGTATAAGAGGGGGTAATTACTGAATATATGTATGTATTCAGAGGTAGATGGATGCTGCTACAGAACCTACGACCTGTTTTACTTACTCACCAGGACAACATAAATGTGTTTACTATTGTTTCTGAAAAAATGACAACCCATTAAGCTATGCTGCTTTTAAAGATTTTATTCAGATAAGTAACCTCTACTAAATAGTATTTTGTTCTGCATATCTGCACCATGAGACTAAGAAAGAGAATATTTGTTTGCTTTTGCTGGGTAGCAAACCACTTCAAACAGTGGTGGCTTAAAACAGCAACATGTATTTCCCACAGTTCTGTGAGTCAGCCGGGCAGTTCTGATCAGGGCCCTCCCGGCAATGCTGCCTCGGGGCTCACTCTTGTGCCAGTGTCTGGGGCTGGTTTAGCAGTGCTGCTGCGCCTCTCCTCCATGGGCTGTCATTCTCCAGGAGGCCAGTGTCAGCAAATTCACTCCGTGATGAGAGCATCACCCACCTTGAGTCACATTTCTTAAGACCTCACTAACCATGGTTAGTCACGTGGCGAAGCCTAGATTCAAATGGCACATTAATGAAGTGAATGAAAAATATCATTCCCCCATTCGTTGGTTTTATTTGGTGTGTTAGTTTTGCTTTTCAAAAACATATCTATCACAGGGAAATGTTGGGCGAGACAAAAGACTGAGAAGCTATATTTCAACCTTTCCCCCACCCCAGTTAAATGTTTAGGGAGATCTGTGCACAGAACTGATGTGGCTTTGGGTTGAGGTGAGGGATGAGGGGAATCCTGGGAATCAGAAACCCAGCAGAGATCAGGGAGCCAGCTCCTGACTGTAGGACTTGGGTGTGAAGGAGTTCCGGAGAGTCTGGATCATGGCCGTGCAGAGAGTGATGCAAACATTGTCCTGTACTCTAGGCCTGCAGCATTAAATACACACATGCACTCAGTCCTCCCCATCAACCGGAGTTGTAGGCGTGAGCTTCATGATACCTGAAAATTTAGGTTTGGGTCAGCGTTAAATACACACATGCACTCAGTCCTCTGTATCAACCAGAGTTGTAGGCGTGAGCTTCATGATACCTGAAAATTTAGGTTTGGGTCTAAATGGGAGGAAGATGTAAAGCAGACACTCTGGACTTGTGCCGGTCAGAGTCTGACACCACCCCATCTTCTCTGCAGGCTTCTTTTCCCAGGGTCCGGGCTGTTTGACCTGTACTTTCAGACTGAAACTTGTCTCAGTTCCAACATTATTTGACATAGTGTCCTTCCTAGATTTTTTACCATGTTATCATAAATTAATTATAAATAACCAACCAATTGTTTAGTACAAAACCCACACTCCTAGCTTCTCATTGCTAGTGCACGGGTCCTACTTGGTTCCTTCAGGTGTATTCCTGCACTGTAGTCTGTCTGATCCTTTGATCCCTCATGACCGAGCGAGGTTCTACCTTCCCTTCAGTGACTGGTCTTTGAGTTGTTCTGTGACTAGTCTCAGTGCCGAAACTAAGGCTCAATTACTTGCCATCAGACTTATTTGAACTCTTCGACTTGTTTGCCTTGAATTCTGAAGGTACCTGGCTCCCTCTCTCCACAATCCTTCTTGGATTTCCAAGACATCCAGGTCAGACCTCCCTTGCCAGACTGTTTTCCTGAATAATCACTGTAATATGTGTTTATTACCCATGTATCATCAATCCGTTTTATCCGTAGAATGGGATTCCCACCAGGATTCGCAACTTGCCCTGTTCTCCTATTATCGGCCTCATTCTAGTATCAAGTTTGGGGAGGGCCGGTGTCAAGTAAATGGGTCTGGTTCAAGGTCTCAGGTTTGCCCTCTTTGTCTACACTAGCCTTGATTAATCAGAAAGATAGGGGTTATCAAGAATATGAAAACCTTATTCATATCTTTAGTAATTCTATGCAGACAAATGTTGATGAAATCAGAGCAGTATATTTTGCAGAGAAGTATTATTATTCATAGAAATCCTCAGAATGTTAAAAAAACAAACAAACACATATACCAAAGAATTAGTTCTGAATTATCAAGGAAAAAATATATTTTCCTTAAAAACTCTTCAATAAACCTGTTCAGAAGGTGTTTTTCTCTTTTAAAAGCTCAGGTGGAATATTTACAATGAACACAATCAATTAAATGACTTAAGATTCTAGCTATTAATGAGCTTGTATTTTCCTTCATTAATTTTGCATAAATGACTTTTCTGATCACATGTGACCTAGAGAGGGGTCCAAGGTATTTACAAATTGGATGGATCCCTGGCACACCATTAAAATGATCAACACTGCCTTGACAGCTTTACTTGTTCTCATGACTACCATATAAATTTCCGGAAGCAATCATTTAAACAGCCGCATGAAGTTTTAGATAATTTCCTTTGGAGGGATAAGAGACCTTGAATTAGTAGGACCCCTCTTCTGGAAGTTTAGAGTAAAAAAGGAATTATTGTCTTTCTTCTTTGAACTTATAAGACTTATTAACATACATGTGGGTGGCACGGTTTTATTAAGAATTTGCAATTGTAGTTTGTCTTGCTTGGATACTTTTTTTAACTTCATAAGAAGGGGAAAAAGTGCTGAATTCTCCAAACATAGAGACATCTATCACAGGTCTCACAGACAAAAAAATTATAATTATGACCTTCTACCTGGTTTTACAGTTATAGTATTTTAGATAAATTAGCCAGCCAAATGGCACTGCAAATTTTGCTTTTCGTTTTGTAGTTATACCTCTGCAAAAAGCTTAGTAAGCAGTTTAATATATCCACAATTTTCTCCAAAATGTGAATATAAAAATGAATTTATAAATCAGAAAATCTGGTTCTGTAGTATAATGTGTCATTTTTTTTAATCATTAGTAATACCATAAAATTAATTTCTGCTGGGCATAAAATATTAAATAATCAACTCCTGCCTTATCAAGATGTTCCAAAATTTAAGGGAAAATTTAGATCACTCACAGGTCTTGTATAGAGTATGAAGAAAACCTTTTTGGAATGAATACATATATTCATATACAAATGTATCATTTACATGAAATCCTTTCAGAAATGCTTTACTCAAAAATATTTCCCCAAAGTGTCAGGGAGACTAGTTTAAAAAATAGGATAAGAAAAGCACCTTAAAATAAAATACATGTAAGAATAAATACAATATCATTCAACACAGGGCTAGATCATATAAAATTATAATTTACCCTCTAATTTCCATCGTTTTAGAATAATCTCAATCCAAATAAACTTCAAAATTTCTGGAAAAGTTATTGATGCCAAAAGTCCCCAAACTATAAATATTTAGGCAGTGAACAATGTCTGATTTACTCACATTTTATTTTACATAACAGTTCAGGAGATATATGGCTATGTATCCATATATTTCTGGAGGCAGCCAGCTGCAACTCCTGAGGCAACAGAATATTAATTCAGTTTAGCCTCTCAAATTTCAGGAGATTTTGGTCCAAACCACATATTATATTTATTTTATGTTTACAGTTTTAAAGATTAAAGGATTTATTTTGAAATAGTTGTTTATGGCCTTTCTTTTTAAAACTAACATTTTATAGTTCTATTTATACAGCAAATGATGC